ATGGAGCTTTGCCATGCTGGAGCAAATGTTCCAGGTTGCTGCAGTTGGCAGTTCCCTGGCCAGGGAGACCTCTGAAGCCCTCCAAACCCAGGAGAACTCATGGTGGGTGAGACTGGGGTGCGGTGGGCAAGTCCTTCCATTGTTCTTGGCATACAGACAAGAGGCCCCCAGATTCTTCACTGGATTGGGCTGTGGGTGACTCCAAACACGGCTGCTCATCCAGCAAACATAAATGAGCACACCTTTGTGGTGTTGGCCCCACCCCAGGGCTGCTCATAATCCTCAGGGCTGGTGACGCACAAGGACCTGGGATGGGAGCCCCAGCCCCACCTCTTATCCACAAGCCTCTTAACCTCTCTCTGCATCAGGTTCCACATCTGCGAAATGGGTGTAACAACCCCTACCTCTCCTGCTAGTTGTTAGGAGGGTTCAGAGACATTAAGTTCCCCTCCCACCTGCCCCCCTTCCTTGCCAGCATATACACATGGGGCAAGTAAAGGAAAGAGGGAGGTGAGATATTTTGGGTTTTTAATTGGCCCCACTGATTCAAAGGGCACGCTTCGGGTGACAGCGGCTGAGGTAGCCCCTGGGATTTTTCTACTGCGGTGTCTCCTCATGAAGACAGATACCTCCAACAGCATTTCCCAGGTGTCCTTCATCTCTTAACCTCAGTGTAATAATGATGCTTTTGAAGAGGGTTGCTCTGAGGTAGGCAAGGGCAGCCACAGCTCTTGGGTTCACTCCTCAGATGTGCCTCAGCTGATGTGAGGTTCCCCCGTCCCGTCAGGGGGGGGCCTGAGTGCGGGCCCGGAGCTGGAAAGCTGGGGTGCACATCTGTGAGCCAGACTCAGATCCGAATAACCCTGAAGGCCCAGCCACACGGGGGAGTTGGGCTCAGAGGGTACTGTTCCCCCCAGCCGTCTGGCCCACCCACTGTTCTATGGCCTCACCCCTAACTCAGCCCCTGGGGGCATTTCCACATGGACAATTTGGAAAAGGCTTCTGGCAATAGCGTTCCTCGGGTCTGGATAACCCTTTCCTCTGAGCACATTTTGGTGGAGGAGCTTGGTGAGGAGGACTCCAGGGTCTCACTCAGCCGTTGCTGGCTTCAGGCCCCTCCCAAGCTCTCTGAGGAAGGACACCACAGTAACAGGCGGATAGCAGCTTGACGGAGCCAAGCGAGCTCACTGGAGAACTGCCCTGCCATGTAGGCTGACTGTAGTGTGGAGGAAAGGGGGCTTGTGGCCTCAGGCTGCTGAAAAGTGTGGTTGTGTGGGGTATAAAGCAGTGTATAAAGCAGTTCTGGGTTTCCAGAACTCCCCGTGGACCATTCAGTGGGGAATGGGAGAGTGCCGTGCAGTGTCCTCAAAGCTGGACTCCCTAAGCCAGGAGGCCAAATACATCTAGAAAATGCCTGCGTTGTCATCTCTTCAATCCTCACCATATGCCAGTTTGGCGATATCATTTTTCCTGAGCTTTTATATAAAGTTATTTTTATACTCCTTAGCAGTGGTTCTCAAAGAGTGGCCCCCAGACCAGCGCCAGCATCAACCTGGGTGCTCAGTAGAAAAGCTGAGTCTCTGGCCCCACCTGCCCCTACTAAGCAGGGAGCTCTGGGGTGGGGCCCAGCCCTCTGGATTTTAACCAGCCTTCTGGGTGACTTAAGTTTGAGAACCACTGCCACAGCCTACCAGAGGCTCTCCGAAGATCCTACCACAAAGAAACACATGTAGTTTTGGTCACTCTCAGGTCTCCTAACCTTACATGGCCATGTAACCCCTTTGTGGCCTAATATCCATTAGTTTTCCAAGGAACAAGCTTTGGGCAACAGGAAAGATGGACTTGGGGTCTGACAGAGGTTGGTTCAAATCCCACAGCTTTTCTTTTTAAGTTCTTGGGTGGTTGGGAGCTTTAAATCAGATACTCTAGTGCTTAGCGCTACCCTTGATTCAGAAAAAGCCTGCCACACATATAGCTGCTAACGATAGTAATAATGATCATTCTTTGGATGATAAACCATACTACGTCACCAATATAGTTCTAGGAAAATGGGTTTCATGTGCCCTTCCTTTTGCTTCCATTTTTTCCCCTAAATCACCACTTGGATTTGGGATGTCAGTGTGAGTTCTACAGTTTCCTCCCCACATCTGGGTTCTCAAATGCCCTGGCCACTCTGGCAGAGTTCATTGTCCTCATCAGGGGAGCAAAAATCAGGATTCCTGCCTGATGCTTGGCTCTGGTAAACTGTCCTACACTGCCCTTTTATGAGAAATAGAAGGCAAAGCACACAGGTTGGCCAGCACCCATGTCCACTTAACATGGCTACTCACTGGGCTAAGGCAGAGCAGTGCAGGCAGCACACATCCACAACTAAGTTTGGGGTTGCTGGGGACACACTATCTATGGTCTAAGTCTATCTTGCTGTCTTTATAGGATTTGCTCCCTGGATTCAAGGAGATAAACAGGGAGTTATAAATAAGAGCACCCAGCCTTCTTTCTTCCTGGAACAGATCATAAACAGGGTTTTATAACTCTGCATCACGTAGTAGGACAAGTACTGGATCCAGGTTCTACTCCTTAGAAACTATGGGACCTTGGAAAAGTTACCTACCGTCTCTGAATCTCTGATTCCACACCTGTAAAATGGGTTTGGTGAAATTCACCCCACTAGGCAATTGTGTGAATTAAACAAAGACCTTGAAAGAGTGGGCAGGTATCTGGCACAGAGCAGGTGCTTAATAAATGTGAACTTGAATCCCATCATCCTCCTGGGCAATATGGCCATCTAGATTGTCTCCATCGTTTGAGGCTCTATTTAGTTAGAACGCTCACTTATTCATCCATTTGTTCATTCATTCATGGTTCACATATTTATTGAGCGCCTACTATCTCTATCAGTGGCACCTGCTGAAGATACAGAGATGAAAAAGACAAGCCAGCAGCACCTAGAGGTGACATAAATACATGACATACAGACCTGAATCCACTAATTACATGACTAATTATCTAAGCAAGATTGGAGTTCGGGTAAGGAAGGAGAAGGCCATCTTCCCCAGCCAGCCCAGCCCAACCAATACGGGCTTCCTTCAAATTCCCTGTTCATTGTCTCATCTTGTTGTTTATATACTTCCAAACTGTCACAACTACTTCCTAAAGTTGACGGTAGGCAGAGACCTGGCATTTCAGGCCACCTTTGCCCCACTTCCCTGCTGTGCAAATATGTGGGGCTGAGTCAAGGATAAAATATGTTCTCAGATCAGCATAGCTCTCCTGGGAATGGCAATTGGGAAGTGTCACAATGACTTAAAGAGATCGCCCTCCAACTTGGAATTGGGTGGTATTTATGCTTTAAGGACAGATGACTATTTGGATAGAGGGCTGGAGGGAGAGGAGACTAATTTATGAAACATGGTAACTGATCTAAATTCTTTTTAAGTTGCTGGGACATGTATTCTTCCTGAAAAATAGGTCTTTCCAACACATATCCAAATTTGTGGTAGGGAAAATAGTTTTGTTTTTTGTCTTAAAGTTCTCAGATTAGGGGCACCTGGGTGGCTCAGTCAGTTAAGCGTCTGAGGTCATGATCTTGGGGTCCTCAGATCAAGTCCCCCGTCAAGCTCCCTACTCAGCGGGAAGTCTGCTTCTGCCTCTCCCTCTGCCTCATCCCCGGCCACCGCTCCCCCCGCTGCTTGTGCTCTCTCTCAAATAAATAAATAAATAAATAAATAAAATCTTTAAAAAAAAGTTCTCAGATTAACAGTGTGAGGCCATAGTTCACTGGATGGCAATTCCAGATGAATGGGCCAACACATGGGGACTGGACATGCAGGATGCAGGTTTTGGATGACAAGTTTGAGTCACTGCAGGGAAGGAGGAGCCCAGCCCTCTCTGAATGTAGTGACAGCATCATTGGGGTTGCCATCTCCCTGGGATGTCTGGCTCACACAGGTGCCTGCCAGCCTGTTAGCAGCAAGGCAGGTAATTTGCTTGAGGGCTCCCTGTATTGGGACCTTTATCTCCAAATCCCAAATAGAGGCAGTTGAGGCCAGTTGGCTGATAGGGGCAGAGGGCCAAAGGTAGAAGGCGGCCAGAGGCCAGGAAACAGTCAACATCAGTCCTTGGTGGCACCTGCCTCAAGCTAGTCCTCTTACCTCCTGTGGGGCAGATTCAGGCAAACCAATCCATGAGGCTTTCACCTCCCAGACACTCTGGCTTCTGCAATTTTTCTCAAACAGCCCCCAGGAGCTCACTCCCTTACAGCATGTCTTTTACATGCTACTCGAGGACGCTACCAAAGCACAGCTCAGATCCTGTGACGCCTCCCACCCACAGCCTGTCACAGCTCCCCGTGGCCCTCAGAGGGATGTCCAACATCCGTGCTATTCTCCTATGTGCGGACAGGGTCTTCTGCCTGTTTGATTTCCTGGGGCTTGGCAGAGAGTACAGGCTAGTCAATACTTGAGGGACGAGGCTTGCCGCTTTAGGAAGCACGCCCCTGCTGACCTGGCCAGCCTCGGGTCCCCACGTCCCCCGGCACACTGTGCTTTCAGTCACATGGGACTCCGCTCAGGCCTCTGGCTCCACCGTGCTCTCTGGAACTTTTGTACATGCTCATCTCTATAAGGTGGCACAGAGCTTCCCTGCCAAGCCTGAAGACTTGGATGCATCCTGGTTATTCTTTCCAGGCTAGGCTGGGCCCCAGCTCCTCCTCCAAGCCGACCCTCACCCCAGCCAAGGTTCGATGCCCTTTCTCTAAGCTGTGACAGTTTGGTAGTCTGGGACCTCCCCTGGATGATGAGCCTCTCAAGCACGGTGATTGTGTGTTATTTTCCGCAGGACAATGCCTGGCCCAGAGTAAATGAGCACCACATAGCTGCTGGCCGGGATGAACGCATGGATGGATGCATGAATGAGGGGAAAAGCCTGGAGCTGGGGCCCCAACTGCGCAAGCCCTGGGCCTGGTGGTTTCAGCCACACCGGGAGGCCGGGGAGAGACTTACGTATTCTTTGGATGGGTCGCCGATGCTGCCGTTGGTGGTTGGGGCCGTGGTCTCTGTGCCCTCTGGCTTTTCTGGCTGCTTCCCCTCCTCCTTGGGCAAGCCCCCCTGCCCAGGGAGGGCCACCTCTCCCACGCCCAGCGCCTCGCTCTTGTACTGCTTGACAAATTCTTCCATCACTTTCACCTCGTTCTCCAGAAGTCCACGGCAGCGAGAGGGGTCCTGGTCGTAGATGGGGAGCTGGTGCATGAGCTGGCGGCGGCGGTAATAGGCGCCCTCGGTGCCTGTCACTGGCTGCTTCTCCTTTGGGATGAGCTCCATGTACTGCAGGCCCTAGTGGGGAGGAGATAAAGCAACTGTGATTTGCAGGCACCCACACAGAGATCTGGAACGGGCGAAGTTTCCAGCTTCTTCGGGTTTTCTGCAGAACCTGAGGATGGTCAAGGCAGCAATGTTGTCAATCTGGCAACACCCCAGAGAGGCCTAAATAAGTTTCTGGATGAGAATGGTGTACTTTAAGTCAGTGTTCATTTTAGATTCGTGGACTTTGAGATACAGGTTTGGTTTCCTTCAACACTGAACATTTTTACTTCATTCACCTCATGGCAATGCTCCTAATTAAAAAAAAAAAGTCAATCTAGCTTAAAATTGCTTTTCTTAGAAAAGTATAATTAAATCATTATAGGCATAAGGTATTTCATGGTTTATTAATTTAAAAACAGGCAAAGGCACCTTCTAATAGAATGAATTGACAAGGTCTCAAGGTAATAACATTTCCACATCAGTATGACTGGTAACCATCTGAATACTAATATGTCCATAGATAACTGTCCAATTTGGCTTTTTTTTTTTTTTAAATGAACAGTAATCTTATACTTGGGTGGCTGCCAGGGATGGGGAGATTAGGGGGAGATAAAGGTCAAGGCCAGACAGCATGAGAAAGTGTGAAAGGCAAATTGTTTTCCTTGACAACTGTTCTTGGCATCTGGGCTTGTGACCCTGACACCCCCACTAGGTTGCTTGATTCCCACTGCCCAGGTGGCTGTTTCCATATTAACCCTCTTGGAACATGCCTGCCCCATATCACATCACTTGGGGTTGTACTCATTTTGGAACTGAATTGTGTGAATCAACATGGAAAGTCATACAGCAATTCATAATGACACCCCCTTGTTGTTGCCTGATGTTGGGGAGTAGGGGTGAGGAAGTAGTGGGAGGGGTGTACTAGTCCAGAGCCTGGTTTGCTGAGTTTCATAATAAATGCATTCCGGATGAGAGTTCTGGAGAAGGGAGAGGCAGGTGACCTGCGTTCCCATGGGACTCATGAGGCGAGCAACAGCTGTGGATGCCCCCTAGGGGGCTCCGTCCTAGATGCTGGAACATCTGGCTGAGCCTTCTTCTGGCTCTGTGGGCTCATGGCATACGCCGTTACTATCCCTTCATCTGCACAGTCCCCAGCACTTTTCTAGGTGCTTTGCCAGATACAGGAGATGGCCTAGGTGGTGGACAGAGTCCTGGGGTGTCAGAAAATGTGGGGTTGTAGCTCCTGCCCTGCTTTTGTTCTCTGTGTAAGACTGAGAAAGCACCCAGCCCCTCTGGGCCTCAGTTTCATCATCTGCAAAGTTTGGGGTAGATAAGACTGCATGATCTTCAGGGTCCTGACCACTGTGAGAATTCTGTGGTGACCTCACTCAGTCCTAACCTCAACTATGAGAGAGAAGTGGTAGCACCGACCCGAGTCTACAGGTCAGGAAAGTGGCTCAAGGAGTCCATGGATTCTGGTTGGTCCAAGAGGCCAAGACCGTGAGCCCCCACATATGGAAGAAGAAGCACAAGGGGGCCACTCAGCTGACTGCTTGTCTGGAAAGGGCTGAGTCCTGACTCTGTCTGGGGAAGGCAGGGGGGATGTGGTTTTTCTCTGGGTCAGTATGAAATTGCAGGGGGCTTCCAACACGAACATGCCAGGCAGGTAGGTGTGAAGAATCTAGTCTCACACTTTGGGGTGTGTAAGAATCACTGGATGACATGGTGACTCTGATTTAGGAGTCTGTGAGGGGCCTAGAAGTGAGCACTTTTGCAGGTCCTCCTGGGTGAGTGTGAAGCCGGATATCTGAGGATCGGGGCCTCTCTGGGGACAGTGGGTAGCGGGACAGGATGTGACCCTCAGAGGACAGGGAGAGCAGCAGACTAGCAGCCTACAGTCTGGGGCAGGGCACAGGACCCTGGGGAGACGGGTTAGGGACAACAAGACGGGCTGTGGGGGGCAAATACCTCCCACAGCCATTCCAATTTTGTGCTGGGGCCTGCCCTGCTCCCAGGATCTAAGGAAGGATTTTGGAGAAGTAGAAACAAGGGCATTGCTCACGGTGCCAGAATGGGCACCCAGACTCGGCCATCATCTCATTCATTCCAAGTGTTGAAGCAGTTCCAGTTGCATGGCTGATGGAGCTCATGGGAGCGGAGTGTAACCTCTTCTCCTACAAAGGCTGCTGACCCGCCCCCCCCCGCCCCCAGGTTGAGTGGTTGAAGGCATGGTGGTGCCTATGATCTGGGCACCCTTCTAGGTGCCTGACCTGCGCTAACCCATCTAATTCTCATAGAACCCCTAGGAGGAAGGAATTAATATTACCCCTCGAAACACTGAGGCACAGAGAAGGAACCTCCCGAAGCTCCCACGACTCGTCTGTAGTTGAGACAGCTTGGTACTCAGCAGCTTGGGTCTCAACCACGTGTCTGTGACTTCTCTAGAAGATGAATGATTTGCCAAGAGAAAACGATTTCCTCCAATCTCTAAGAGAGTTTCCTTTGGTCTTGGGCAGGGTGCGGAGGCTGTGTAAGCACCGCTTAGGGCCACCATCCCCCAGTCCCTGGATACATCTGTGACTCCACCTTCAACAGCAGGTATCCCTCCCTGTTTTGCGTTACAATAAACACCAAGGTAGAAGTCCTGCAGCAGTGGCCCCCTGCGGGTAGGTGCTGGCCACCTGCTTGTCAACCCTGCATTCAGTGTCCTTTCCTGGCTCTGTCCTGGCTACAGGTGTTTGTGGCCCGCAGAGTTAAAGGATTCCTGGCCGGGGCCCTGGAGACAGGGATTTTTCCTTCCCCAGGAACCCAGTGTTCCTGTCACAGCTCAAAGCCCCAGCTGGGCACCGCAGCATCCCGCTGCCCCTGGCGTGTCTTCTGCGATGGCTGGCCCTGCCTGGCTGGCCTTGTCTGGCTGGCGCCAGCAGCTGATTGACACACCTGCGGCAGACTCTGCTCGCTGACCCCGGGGAGGGTATCAGAGTCTGCTGTTCAGACAAGCACACTGGTTGGCGTGGGCTTGGGAAGGGGAGGATGGAGACAGAAGGCAGGGTCAGAGTGGGCTGCCTGTGCCGCTCAGAGCTTGTGAGAGAATCTCTCAGGAATCTCTCCGGGAAGCTGATTAAGGTCATGTTCCCCGAACCTTTAGCAATAAGCCTTTTCTCGGAGCAGCTGGAAAGGTTGGTTTAGGTTTCAAGTTTTTCACGAGGACCTTTGAGTCATTTGGTGCTCCGCTGTCTGGCTGGGACATCCTGGGTGAAGGGGTTCCCAGAATCGGTCTTTGTCGGAAGAGGAATCAAAGGGCAGAGAGAAAAGTGGGAACGAAAGGTGCTTTATTCCCAGGGTTGGGCAGGAGGAGGGGCATGGACTCCGGACTCGGAAGACCTGACCCTGCCTATTCTTTCTGCTTCTCCAGCTGTCAGGCAAGGACGGTCAGCGGGCTTCATGGTACATGTCAATCCTAGTCAATAGTGGCTACTTGGAGTGCTGTCTCGAGGAGGATTCTGAGGCCCAGTGAGGGCTCTGTGGGAGACAGTGCCCTGACTGACCAGCAGTGTTTGCCACGGGTATGAGTGCCACACCGGCGGAGCCTCCTCAAAAACCTCTGTTTGCTCCCCTATAAAATGGGGTTATTATGCACGTAAGGAGTGGTGAGGTGTTGATGATATATCTATATGCCTGTCTGTCTGTCTACCTACCTGTCCAGAATGCTCAATGGATGCTGGTTCCCTTCATCTTTTCCTCCTTGCCTCCTCCCAAATCCTGGATAGCCTTCAAAGATTTGCCCAAGTCCCTCCCTATTCTTAGAAATTTATTCCCTTAAAAGTGCTCATCCAAGATACCTGCTTCTTTCTGCTTCTCCTCCTACCTGTCTGGTTCTCCTGGCCTGGCTTGGCAGGGAAGAGCCTAAGCTTTGGAGTCAGGGAGGCCTGAGTCCAAGGCCTGGCTCTGCCATTTAAGCCAGCTATGGGACAGTTGGCTAGTTGTGTCACTTCTTGGAGGCTCAGCATCCCCCTCTGTGGATAAGTGTAGTCATAGTCCATCCCTAACAGTGTTGGAAAATTAGATGAGACCGTGCATGTACAGCTCTTAGCAAAGTGCTTGGCACAGGTAAGTACTCAATAAATACTAGCCATTAGGTTTATTGTGACTAGTCTTTAATGGTTTAAGAATTTCTCCGTTTTTCATTCTGGTTGGGAAGGATGACAGCAAGATCCAGTCCCATTTCCAAAATATAATCAGTCCTGATCACTTGGTAATTAAAAAAAATGTTGGGAGGGTGAATGGGAAGAGAGAACTGTCCAATCTCAGAAAGGCAACTTGCTCAGGCAGGCCAGAGAGGGGGCAGACAGAGGGCCCTTTATACCATGTGGTTTTATGAGCCAGCATTAATCACAGCCTGACGATGCCTTCCTCTGATTAGTCTGGGGCCGAAGCACTTGGGGTTTTCACCAGCCAGTTCCTGACGCCCACAGCCAGCTCTTTTATGAGCTGCTTGCTTCAGTTTCCACTGACATCTTGGAGACCTGCTTGATGGCTTACCCAGACCTGGGCGCTGGAGGCAGACCTGAATGCGGAGCCGACTGGCATGTCCCAGCACTGCTATTGTTGGACGTCACCCTCTGTGGCCCGGATGTGCCCCTGCCTAGCCCCTCCAACTGGTGAAGGCCAATTAACCATGCTGTATTTCCTTACATGTAAAATAATTCCTATTTCACAGGGTGGCTGAGCTCACAAATGCTGACATATTCTTTTTAAAATATGTCTTCAAAAAGTATAGCTTTTAAAAAAGCATCTTGCCAATCTCCACTTGATCTAGAAGGGAGTCCCCCCACCTTTCCCCCACTTAAGCTACAGCCTAGAACTGTGCTGCTCAGACTCTCTATGGTGAAGGATCAGGTTTTTTTTTGTTTGTTTGATTTTTCCACCTATTGCAGAATGATTTGTGGGCTCACCGCATGAGATGAGAATGTAGCTCATGCCATGTTGAGATTTCCACGTGAGTCTGACCACAGTGGAATTCTGTTCAGTAAGAAGACGTCTCTGATCACATGCTTGGATGTCAATTGCTACTAAATTTCCCCAGCATTTCTTCTCAATTTCTGTACCTCTCGTTATGGGCCAGTCACAGGATTTTGTGGCAGTGTCAGTCCACGGACCACATGTGGCCAGAGGGGTGATGTAGTACAAATACTCATCAAACCTACTATGTGTCCTGCATGATGCAAGGTGCTGGGTAGGATGGTGCACAGGACAGGCATGGTGTCTGCCCTTGTGGGCCTCGCTTCACTCCAGTGAGAGAGATGATAACTAAGCAAAGATGCACCTAAGATAACTACACATTGCAATCAAAGCTTCTAAAGAAACACTGGAGAACTGAGAGAGAAACAATGTAGCTAGAGGGTAGGTGGCATCTGCTGTAGATTGGGTGGTTAGGGAAGGCCTGTCTGGGACCTGTCAGACTCAGCCATGCAAAGAGCAGGGAAAGGACCTTTCAAGTAGAGGGAACAGCAAGTGCAAAGTCCCTGAGGAGGGCAAAAGCCTAGAGCGTTCCAGAGCAGGAAAGAGGAAGGTCAGGGCGCTGTAAGGTAATGAGTGAGGGGTCATAGCTGGAGCTGTGGGAGGACTCTGAAGCCTCTCCTTTTTCCCCAGAAGAGATTTAATTAAAATGCCTGGCTTGCATCTCTAAAACTGTAGGGCCTTTTTAATCTCATTAACTTGTGGAAACCACCTAGGCCCTTGCTATTCCAGGTGAGGTCTGGGGGCCAGCGGGATCGGCATCACCTGGGAGAGTGTCAGGAGCGTGGAGTCTCAGGATCAGCCCCAAGCTCACTGGATGTATTTCAGCAAGCTGTCCAGATGATGTATATGCTTGCTGAAATCTGAGGGGCACTGGTCTGGTCCGCTGGGTCTTGAAGGTGGCTGCATGTGGGATTACCTGAGGAGTTAAATGCCCATGTCTGGTGATGGCGATCCTGCAATCTAGAGCTTCTGATTTAACGGTCTGGGCTGAGGCCTGTGCATGGGGACTTGTTATGGGTCTTTGTAGTTGGGTGGCCAGGGTGTGACCTTGTCCTTCTCTGGGTGCCTCTTCCCCGGGGTTGTGTAAAGCTAGTTTGGTTCTCCCTTCCAAGCCCAAGAGGCCTCCGCTGTTGGAGAGGGCATAGAACTGTTTCTCTGCTCCCCCACAGGCCTGCAATGGGTACATCCCAGGCCATTTTGAGGGGAAATGAACATCTCATACATGAAGACAAGCACTCTGAGAGTTTGGAATGATAAACCATCCTTTGTTCAGAAGTGGGGAGCCCAAATGGAACCATGGATGACCCTGGACTAGAGCTGGAAGGGCCTTGGAATTCATAGAGACACTTCTATCCATTTCATGGATGAGGAAAACCGAGGCCCAGGGAGTTTTCACTTCAAGATCACATAGCGAGGCAGGAGCAGGTTCAAAACCAGAGCTATTCCTATCATTTCTATAATCCCGCCCTCTTCTTAACCTTATCTTTGACATTCAGGCCTGACGAACATGTACAAGGATAGGAAAACAACCACTTGGTTGGAGGAAGCTGCCTTACCAGTTTCTGGGTGACTCCAGGGGGGGCCCACTCATAGGTGATGGTGTCAAAGGTGGGATCTTTCCCAGTGGCAATGGGATTGGTCATGATCATCCGATTCCGCTTGTAAATCCGGATGCCGTCCCCGCCTTTCACCCGGGCTGTGAGGGTGGAATACTTGGAGTCCATCAGCAAGCGGCCAATTTTCCGATCGTCTTCCAGCTCAGAGCTGAAGCAGTGGTCTTCGTGGCTGCATTTGCATGACTTGCATATTTTCCTGGGGTGGGAGGTTAATTGGAACATGTGAGATCAACCTCCAGAGAAGAAGAGCAGAGTCCCCTGCTGGTAGCGTCTGCCTTTTTGAAAGCAAGTTCAAGGTTCAGCCTTAGTAACTTGGAAGGGTTGGCAGCAGACAAATGGTAACCTGAGATCAAAAGGCCTCTGGGATTGGGAACTGCATCTGGGAGACTATCAGTCTATTTGTGGGGAATGTGGGATGTGACTTTTGCTGGTAAAAAGAACAGCACATTTTTACTCACTTTGGGTGTGACAGCACAGGCTGTTTCATTCATTAGAGATGCTCGAAAGCAGGAGTCTTTATGACCTGTGGGCTGAACCCGGCCCACAACCTCCTTGTGTAAATAACGTTTTATTGGAACACAGCCATGCTCATTCACTTACATACTGTCTGTGGATGCATTTGGGCTACAACGGCAGACTTGAATAATTGCAACAGAGACTGTGTGGCCCACAGAGCCTAAAATATCCACGATCTGGTCCTTTATATAAAAAAAAAATGCTGACCTCTGCTCTAAGGAATTATTGAAATTGTCTCCCAAGATTCATGAGCCTTGGAGCTTCAGCAGCTTTCAACTCTTTAGCATCCACAGTGAAGTTAGAATACAGCGGAAAATTTTCTTCAAGGAATGGGTGGATAGGACCCAGGGGGAAGGGAATGAGCTCAGAAAACCCCCTGGGCTGGAGAGATTGATGTTCACTGGCAAGGCTTTGTGGTGAGGCTGAGAGAAGGAAAAGCATCCTGGGGAAGTGTCAAATTCACTTGAAAGCCTGATGCTTCTGTCTGACAATTAAAAACTAAAGCATCTGGCTGCTTTGTGCCATGCTGTTAAGGTTTCAAAATCCAGAGTGTTCTCAGTTTAGAGGAAAACCGCTTCCCTCCCTTTCCGGCCTGACACCTGAGGCCTGCTGTATCTCGGCTGCTCTCACGCATGAGATTTAAGAACTCGTTAAGTAAAGTGAGCAACGTCAAGACCTGCAACAGGGATGAGGCAGGCCTGAGCAAGAGAGATGCCACTGCAGTAGCATGAGCGCCTCACAGCCAGGCATGCCTGAAGGAATCCTTTCTTTCCATCAGTAGTTTTTTTTTTTTTTTTAAGATTTTTTTAATTTATTCATTTGACAGAGAGAGAGAGAGTGGCAGGCAGAGGAGAAGCAGACTCCCCACGGAGCAGGGAGCCCGATGCCGGGCTCGATCCCAGGACCCCGGGATCATGACCTGAGCCGAAGGCAGATACTTAACGACTGAGCCACCCACGTGTCCCTTCCATCAGTAGTTCTAAACTAAGGTCACACCCCCAGGAGGCATGTGGTAACACTTTTGATTGTCACTGTCACAACGGGGTGCTACTGGCTTCTATAAGGTAGAGGCCAGGGATGCTGCTAAACATCCCGTAATACAGAGGATAGGCCCCTCCACACCAAAGAATTATCCTATCCAAAATGTCAATAGTGCTGAGGTTGAGAACCCTTGTCTAATGAGGGACGTCCCACTGCAACCTTCTAGGAGCCTACAGTTGGGATGAGAGAGGGACAGAAAATCGGATGGACACTGTAACAGAGAGTAAGGTTGGACCCTGTGAGGGCTGCATATGCTCTGGGGTGGTTCTCTGGTCTGGACCAGTTCCCCCCAGCCTGTAAGTATGGGGCACGTGGAAAAAGGCTCAGGGTGATAAGTGTGGGAGACAGAGGGTTACAGAAAGTTAGACATATTTCTCCAGTGCAAGGCTGATTCTTGTTTTTAATGCACTGATGTACAGCGTGACTTTAAGGCAGGGAGAATGAAGCATTTCCAATGTTATCTGAAGAGAAGCTTGCAGTCCAAGTTCACATGCAGTGGGCTACAATTTGAGAAATGGTAAAATCGATGATCTCAAGGATAATTCCAGTACTTCAAAACGGAATATGACCCTGAAGATGATGCAGGGCAACAACAAGAAGTCTTTTCTTTTTGTTCTCATAAGAAGGGGTTGCTCATTTTACAGAATTGGGGCACTTTATTCATAATAAATATTCTCTTGCCTCTCCCTTTTACGAGCCAGGCATGAGGGAGACTGTTTCTGTAGGGTAGGGGGTAGCACCACTGGTTTACGCGTGGGGAGTGACAGCAGCAGAGGAGGAAGTGGAAGGAGGAAGGGGAAGGAAGTCAGGGAAAGCCTGGTGCCCCACGAGATCCTCTGAGCCCCAAAGCCCTCCATGCTTGGAGCTGGGTGGGGAAGCTGCCATTTGCTTTTTTGGTTAATGAGACTCTCAGGATGCTATTAGAGATGTAGCGAATGCAAAACCGTTTGAAATGGAAAATGCTGATGGATATGAGATATTCTCTGAAATTGTGTCAACATCCCTCCTCCCTTTATTCATACCCTCATGTTGCCAGGCACTGTTGCTGCGATTCTATAGATGAGGAAGATACCCCTCAGCCCCACTCTACTCTTTCCAGGCACCCAGGCTGAAGGGGACACAGACACATCCAGAAAGATCCTCAGTGATATTAAAATGGCTATTTCTACAGTCTGTCCTGGGCTACCTGCAATGCTGGAAAAGGCAAAGCCTTGGACTCTAATCCCAGCCTGAACACTAGCCCAACACAGCCCATGGTCAAGTTTCTTATTTGACAGTGAGATAGTTACGTCAGGCATTGGCAAACTACATTCCATTGGCTGAATCTGGCCCATCCCCTATTTTTGTACAGCCTGTGAAGAAAAGTTTTTACATTGTGACATGGTCGAAAAAAAAATCAAAAGAAGATTACTGACACAGGAAAATGATATGAGATTTGAATTTCACTGTCCTGAAATAGAGATTTATGGGAACATAGTCACATTCATTCATTTACATATTGCCTGTGGATGGTTTCACGCTACGAGGGCCAAGTTGACTAGTTGTGCCAGAGACCACATGGCCTGCCAAACCGAAAATGTTTACGAGCAGGCTGTGTACAGAAAGGTAGCTGACCCTTGGTTTTCAAACTTTGCTGCACATCTAAATCACCTGGGGAGCTCGGGAGACTTGGAGATGCCCCACCCTGGCCCCAGCTAGGGTCCGGAGTGGGATCTGGGCAGGGGTACTTGTGATCCTGTTCAAAGGGGATCTGGATGCCCGTCAAAGTGCCAGAATCCTTAGTCGGTGCCTTTCAGGAACTTAAGCAGCTCTGGTTGACTTTCTCTGGACTGTCTCTGGAAAAGCACAGGAAGCCCAGCTCTTTGGGCAGAGTCATCTGTGAAGATCCACTGCCCCAGGGAGAAGAGGCAGAGCTAACACTGGCCCCCTACGCCAGCATGGAGACAGGACCTCTTCAGAGGGGTGCCGCATGAGGATGCTGGGAGAATCCAAAGAACGACCCCTGAAGAATGTAAAAATGGGTGATCTGAAGAGCCAGTGGTCTGTCTCCCATTTGCATACCATGTCCCCTGCTTCCCTCAGGGGTTCCCTGGGGCTTTTCTCTACTCACTGAAGTCAGTGTGCATTTAAAAAAAAAAAGTGATTAGGATTATGATAATATAAAAAAAAGAATCTCTGCCTCTAAGGAAGAGACTTTCTGTCGGGCTCTCTCTGAAAAGCCTGGAGTCCTAGACGTGTGTGTCCCCCTGCCCTGAAGGGTGGGTCAACCTCCTGAGGATAGCTCAGAAGGCCAGGGAACCCGACATGTCCATCAGGGAAGCAGGAAGCTGCAGACCGCCCGGGGAGCCTCCCCTTCTGTTTTCATGAAAGTCTGCTCTTGTCTTCTCTCTGTACCCTTCTCTCCAAGTAATTCTACCATCTGCCACTGATACAAATTACCATGCTAATTCTACTAACCATGTCACTAGTTTGATTACAGATAGCTTGCCTGAAACTATGGATTGTAAAGCCAGAAGTGGAGCCTAGAGCACATGGGCTCCAACGTTCCCATTTTTCAGATAGGAAAGGTGAGGCTTACAGAGGGAAGTGATTTTTCAAGCTGAGTCAGTACATGAATTTGTCCTGTGATTATTAGTTGGGGGACTTGCTCATTAAAGCAGGCCGGCTGTCACTTGGGTTATTCAAATATCTTTCAAACTACTGTAAGTATGAGAACTGGAGCATAAAAATGCTTTCACGTGGTTTTCCCCCACTAAGTTTCTGGGACCTCCCGGCTCCAGTATGGCTTGAATTTAGGTCCCCGTTAAAGTTATTCCAACCAAAGACAACGCTTGATATTTGGGACCCAAAGCGACAATCCGCATTTCTCAAGGATCAATTTACTTGATGTTCAAGTACTTTGTAGAATGGCGAGGGAATGTGGGAATTAAAACCATGCTGACACTCCTGCTTATAGCCCGGAAGAACAGGGCCCAGAATTGCCATCCTGCCATAAACAGCTAGAAAACCAGACAAAATATGTTGAATGAATCTTTTCAGATGTCAGACAACAGACAGCCAGGGACTGATCCTTGAGAGGGGGAAACATTATTGAACTGAGTTGGTGGGTGCATTCAGGGAACATTACCCTCTGCCCTAAGGATTCTAAAAGGAGGTATCCCAGCTGTTTTTGGAGAGCTGATGAGGAGTCAGCATTGTTCTGTGACAACCTGATGGCAGATTCAGGACCAGGGGGCGAAAGCATAGGGAATCTGACTCTCCTCAAGACCAGAAAGAGCTCGAGTAGCCAAAACAGATGTGTGGGGCATTCCCCCAATGGGGAGTGTGTTTGTTTTGGGAGGAATTTGTGTGGGGGATGGAGTAGGGTTTGGACGACCTTGAAGGTCCCCTGCATCCAGAAGACAACATGAGCTCCTGTGAGGTCGAGAACTGTCAGGGAATGGAGTAAAGGAACAGTCTTGTACTTCAAAGGCTCACGACCCACAGTACTACAGATGACCTTGAAGGTCCCCTGCATCCAGAAGACCACATGAGCTCCTGTGAGGTTGAGAACTGTCAGGGAATGGAGTAAAGGAACAGTCTTGTGCTTCAAAGGCTCACGACCCACAGTACTGCCGACCCACAGTTTGAGAGCATGGGGGTAGGGTTCAAGAAGACCCAGGTTTGAATTCTGCCATGTACTGGATGTTTCCTGCTACCCACTCTCAGTTTTCTGACCTGAAAAATGGAGAAACTACTACCTACTGCTCAGGGTTACTTCAGCATTTAAATGTAAAAGACTTGGTTCAGCTCAATAAATGTTTTTACAATTGCCATCTCACAATGGAAGTCAACCGCTCTGAGACAAATACCTCCCAAATTTTGCTCCCGCATTGAGTGCCCAAGGAAACCCTCTGGCAGAAGAGACAAAAACTCCCTCTTTGCTCTCGTGCCCTACAGAGGTTAGCCTCTCTCTCCCAGGGCTGCTGGGATAGTCACACAGTCTGTGCACTGCACACCTCCAGTGGGTGCCATCCACGTAGATGCTGATGGCAGTAGCACCTGGGAGTTGTGCGGTGGGGCGGCCCTACCTCTGGTTTTCAGAGTCCAGCTGGATCTTATGGCCCTCCCTTGTGGGTATGAATGCACCACAGCCTGGTTTTTAAGTCCTGTGGACACAGTGACTTTTATTTCAGGCCCAGGGGCACTCTGAGATCAAAACAGGGGCGATTACACAGTATGGGGAGATCAACCGCATGCACCAAGCCCCAGGATATAGCAATCCAGAGAGGACCAGGCACCGACTAACAACTGCCCACATCTTCCCAGTGTGGCCTTGGTGGGCTGAGCTTGGTGACCTTCGCCTCGAAATGGTGTGTGAAGCACTAAACTCCTTTCTCATCTTGGCTCCCAAGGGCTTTTCTGCCATTTCTGAATTAGGCAAAGCAGGAGTGCATTCACTCCGGAGCCAGTCCTCCCTGAAATGCATGCATCTTAAGCAGTCCCAGCAGAGCAGAATGACCAGCGGTTCCCAGAAAGGACAGCCAAGAAATGAAAGCAGGCAGAGCCTCTCCTGACAAACTCTTTTACCTCCATGGATGTGGCTCGAAGCCTGAACACGTCCCCTTGCATTTCAAACAAGGCACACCTCTTGCTGACTGCTGCTGGCCCAGGGACATCTGGAAAAGGAGACAGAAAAGAGGGTGTTTTCCTTCCAAAAGTCTTGGACCGGGGATCGCTTGACCTCTAAAAGACTTGGCATGCCAGCAAAGGGATTGTGTGGGGTTCAAAGGGCTCGAGATGAATAAGCCATCAGTTACTGTTTACCAAGAATGGAGAAGACCAGCCGGGAAAATGGCCATAGGGCAGGCAAGTGTGGAAGGGTGGGGCCCTTCCCAGTAAAAATGGAATGAGGTGGGGGCTTTCGGTGCTGTTGCTAGCCAGCCACCAGCGCTCCGTTGGAAACCCCCTGCTGTGAGGGATCATCTCCTCCTTCCTCCATATTCACCAGCTCCCCTGGTCGGTCCACTTGTCACTGAAATGGTATCTTCCAGCGAGTGCCTCCTCTCCCTCCTTTATTTGTGATTTATTGATAGGGTGTGATTAAACCAAAGCTACAGGCACAAACAAATGTTCATGTTGCCAAATGTTTATAGCTCAAAGCATAACTTAAATATTTTGCTAAAACACGGAAAATCAGGAGCATTTGAAGTCTGGTGGTCCTTTGGAAGGAAAACAACACACAGGACAGGTTTTATTCTTTGTCACCAGCTGTGCTGCTGCTGTGTTGAGACCCAGCTGGCTCTTCAATGTGGTCTTCAAATCAGCAATCTCCACGGGAAGCTTGCCAGAAACACAGTCCCTCAGGTCCTGCCCCAGCCCTTCTGATTCAGAATCTGCACTTCCATGAAATTCTAAGAGATTTGTATTACATTAAAATTGAAGAAGAAGGGGGTTAGTGTATGGATCTGCTGGCTGAGACACTTACCTAACTCTCCATTGGGGGTGGGGATGACTTGCTACAGTTAATGCACATGTATTACGGTTTTATCAAGAACAAGGCTTCATCAACTTGTAAGATAAAGGGATAAGGTCCTCATTCAACAGACTGTTGATTCATCTAACCATTTATTTAGCATATGTCAGGCACAGGGATACATCATAGGACTCAGGTGTGCCCTAGAGGTACTCACAGACTAGAGGGAGATGAAGAAGCACATACTTATACCTGCTTCTGGAAGGGGTAAGTTTGAGGCCGAGGAAGCTGCCTGTTATGTAGCAGGAAGGCATGGACTTTGGAGCCTGGGAAACCTGGATTCCAAACCCAGCATCGTGACTCAACAGCCATCCTGGCCTTGGACACACTGGGCTTCAGTCTCCTTACTTGTCAAATGGGTACAAAGATAATGTATGTAAAGTGCCCGCTCACACTGGGTACTAAAAACTGGTAGCTGGTGTTATTTTGCACGCAGACTTTAGGCGCACAGAGGAAGGTGTGAATAAACCTGTACAGCAAGTCCAGGGAGGCTTCTTAGAGGAGGTGACTCTGGATGGGGGTTAGGCAAAATGAGCAGGCAGAAAAGGAGAAGGGAGAAAATGTGTAAGGGCAAAAAGATATGAGAGGACGTGATGGGTGGGATGTTGCAATCTCAGCATTACTCCTTTACTCTCTTTGCTTTTAAGTGGGGAAAAAACAAGCAGTAGAGCATGGGAGACCGTCCTCATTGTTACGGTTAGAGTTCGAAGAAGTACATGAGAAGACACACTCATTCTTCACAATATTTCTCTTCTGCACCTCAGATCCTCCCACAGTGACACCTAGCTCCCCACCTCCCACCCACTGGACAGCTGCTGTTCGCAGCATGTCCTCTCGGACTGCGCTGTTCTCATAGACATTCACAACTCTGCGGAGTAAGCGCCACACTGCACACATTTGATAGCATGTTCACATTTGTGCCTGGTCAGTGCTAGCTTCTTGTTAACGAAGAAAAACAAGAAGATGCTCATCATCAACTCCTCGTCCGAAGCTGGGGAGCTTTCCTTCACAGGTAGAACTTTGTTCTCTAAAGCCCTGGCATCGAACACCTTGCAAACCTCCACCTCTCATTGCTTCTGCCTCTTGTCACCTTGGATTCTACCAGTTGAAACACAGCGATCCTTTCACACTTCATGTTTGAGTGATCCAATGGTTATTTTGGAAGGTATACAACTTACGAATAAGGCTTCATTGTTGGATCATTTTAGAAAGACCCGGAGGCAGCAAAGCCTGGAAACAGAAGAGCTATGTGGAAGCATTTCATAAGTGGCAAAGCACTCTGCGCGCGGGCATTGCTGTTCTAATGAGTGGCTGATTTAACAGTCATCCTATAAGGGGATTAGTCCTGATGCTTGGCCGGCGAGCTGAGCTGCCGGCTCAGGGTTTGCTTAGAAATAGTGATGCGAGGCCGCACAGCACAGCAGGGCACGGCCCATGGGGCAGGGTGCTGGCTCTGTGGTGCCGGCTCTGACATTTATTAGCTGTGCAGCTAGAGGCAACTCATTTCCTCCCCCAGCCTAAGTTGCTCCTCTGTAAGATGAGAAAACTGGCCTGGATCGAGACCGCCAGAATCCTGTTCCACAGAACCCTCATTCTGTGAGATGTTGCAAAGGGGTCGTTGATGGCTGGGAGTGGGAAGGATTACACGATCAAATAAAAATGATGGACACTGGATGTGACATGGCTTTTGGAGCCTCTGAGGTGCTAGCCCATGTGAAGAGCAAGATGGGAAGTGGAGAACAGGCAGCTCTTTCAAGTGAAGAGGTCCAGGCTTTGGGGGTCACAAAGGTCTGGATTTTTAGACCTAAATTTGTTCCTTTCTTCTGCTGGACTTGGGCAAGTGACTGGACTTGCCCAAGTTACATATGGGACTCCAGCTTCTCCCTCTGGGTCGTGGAGATAATAAGAACCAACGTGCGTAGTGGAGCTACTGGGAGGGTTAAATGGGTTGCTACAAGGAAAGGGCTTGGCATGCACATATTATGCACTGGATGTTTGCTGTCCTTGTCAGCACCCTTTGTGTAAATGGTCTGAGAGACCCTGAATCAGATGTTCTAAAAAAAAAAATTCCTTTTCCAGCTTCAGAATTCTAGGGAACTTTAGAGGAACTCCTTTCTAACTCCACACCTCATATACTTTCTTACTGTCTCCTTTGCTTCGTGTGTGTTAAGTGTTGCCTCTCTAAGTGCAGGAAGCAGAGAGTTGGCCTTAGTCTCCATCCTGCTAGTGGGACAGTTTCCATGGCGACAGAAGTCCGTGGGAGAGAAAAATAAATGGCCTTGCAAGGAAGAAGCAGATTTGGGCCATCAGGCCACACTTGCAGCCAGTTTCCTGGCCGACTGCTTAACACAATAAATAGCCATTTGTTCCCTGCATGTCATTCATCCAGGAGCCAGACAGACCTGGCTGTGTCAGACACAGAAAATGATGATCCTGTTTATTGAGAAGAGGAAAACATCAACCAGAAGCAGTGTTTCAGACAAGATATTCTGGTTTATAAACAGTAGGTTTCTCTGATGTGGACTCTGTCTCGGATGAAAGATGGTGTAGTGGTGGCTCACAGTAGCTGAAAACAGAAGAGCTTAAAAGGAGCCATCACTTTAAAAAATGGGTTCCTGGAATGTAGCATCTATTCTATCATTTTTCCTGAGGGGAGATAACATGTTTTGACAATTTTCTTTGGCTTAGGAGAGAGAGTAGGATGTTGTGGAACTGAATCGCATCAGGAACTTAAAAGGTCTTAGCTCAGGCCAGGAGCCCTGGGGACGCAAGGGCTGGGGAGCAACAGGGCCTCCTCCCCCCTTTGAGCATCTCCTTCAGGTGAACCCCCAGGGGAAGTCTTATGGGGGAAAAATGTCACCAAGAACAAGGTAGGACAGAAAGGAAGAAGGGAAAAGCAGAAATGCAACATGGAGTTTAGAAATGAATGTGGGACTCAGGGCTAGACAATGGGAGTTCTCCTCCCATATGTAACTTGGTTTCCTCCTCTGCAAAATGGGTTTTCCCTGCCCCTTTTTGCCTCCACAGGGCTGTTGTGAGCATCAAGTCAGATTAAAAGGTTGTTTGTAAAGTATTTACCATTGTTAAAAAAATTATCCAAAACTTGAGCATAAGGCAGAAAAGTAGGTGGCAGGTCCTCTCAGTGTCATATGGTGGCGATAGTCCCCTCAAGGATTATCTATACATATTTACTTTGCTGTACTCCCAGACTTGGTGAAGCTACATGTTAACTTGGAGATTTCTGTCCGGTAAAGATACAAATACAAGGAGTTTTTATCTTTTTTAAAATAGATAACCTGGAAGGTTATGGTTATTGTCCTATTAGCTAGTTATGTACCTAACCCAATAATTTTGTCCGAACATTAAATTGCCTATAAATACCCAGCCCCTCAAATGCTTTTTGAACTGGTCTAAATATCTTGCTGATTACTTCATTAACTAAAGAGTTGAATAAATCTTTGCTGAGTTTTATTTTATATTTTTACAACAGTCATGATTTTACGTTTTTGGAAATTCTATCTTCAGACCATCACATGCCCTCCTGACCATCCGTGGGTTTGCTTTCTGAGCTAGGGTGTTCTGAATATTGACAATAAATTCTATTCCAGGTCAGTCACTCTGATTTGTCTACAGGTAAACTCTATATTTAGGCATATGTGTCATTAAAGATTATTAGCCAAAATGATTTGCTACTTGAAAACAAACCCTTTCCTCCCCACCAAGGAGAGGTGGAGTGAAGGCAGTGGAGGGTGGAGTAAGGTGAACTTATGAGAAGGTCTGGAAAAGAACTGCCTTCATAAACAGAAAACAATGATCTCAGAAACTCCTCTACTGCTATCACCAACTCCAAAATGTGAACAGCTTGACAATCCATGGAGTGATTTTACTTACTTAAGCATTCTCTTCCTGGACACTTGACAACCCTGTGACGTATAATCATTATTCCTAATCAACAGAGGATGCATGACAGTCTGAGAGAGAAGCAACTTGTCCATTCAGAATGGTCTAGACTGGAGCTTCTATGGGGAAGGGGGGGGTCTCCTCATTCTACCCTCATCTGTACTGGGCTTGAAGCAAAAATGTAATAGCTTTCTTAATGATTCTGACTGTAGCTAACCTTTATTGAGTATACCTTATGTGCTG